ATTATCTAATTGTGTTATTTAAAGCACATGTTTAGGTAGAAAAACATGCTGTTCCCACCCACCCATAGCTACTCAATCTATGTGGGTTTTTTTTAGTTTTTTTTAACAAAGCCTCTAAAACTCAGGAATACTTACCTTAACTTGCGGTCACATGAGCCTTTATGACGCTTCTTCCAGGAGCTGCGACCGGTGACTGTACGCTCATGTCAGTTCCCTTTGCCATCTGGTCATGTGCCTTTTCCTCCTTGTAGTGGCTTCATGCTTGAAGGCTTCAGGACCTTGGAGGATCCAGCTTGTCACATGACCGGTGGTTTATATAAGTAATTGGTGCTTCTACGTAGACTTCTCTTTAAATAAAAAAAACCTATAGATGGAGGTACAGATCTGGGGATTTTTTATTCTCCCTAGAGATGTTTTAAATGTTAGTCTGCTCTTCACCAGAAGTACTTTTGTTGCCTGTTACTAGGGATGCACTGATACCAAGTACCATACTCGGTACAAGTACATGTACAGATACTTTTCGAGCTCCAAGACTAGTCTAGAGAAAAATTCTAAAGTTAGCAGGCAGCTGTCATTTGTAAGGAGCACACGGAGCTCCTGGGATGTGTACATCTCTGTTTTAATGTGGGATTGTGTTTTTATAAATAATGGGATGCACCGATACCATTTTTACAAGTACTGATACTTGTCCAAGTACTTACAAGTACTGATACATTTTTGTTTTATTGTCATGTGAAGGTTTTCTAAAACAATACAGACTAATGATTTCAGGACAATGGTGGAGCGCCAGAGCCAGTCCCAGCTGCAACCCTGGTAGTTCTCGTGAAAATGCCAAGTATCGGCACTGGTATTTGAAAAGTATAGGGGCATCCCTCCCATGCGAAAGCTTGTCCACCCCTAGTCAAAGTTCTGTTTTGCTATGTTTTGACTTTCTGAGCAAAAAGGAAGTCAATGTATTGCAGGAACAAACATAAAAATGAGACTTTTTGTAGATTTTCATGCACAGTTACTATTTATTTGTTGAATTTAACAGATCAGGGAAACATAAAACAAATACAATTTTTGAATGGTTTTGAGCAGGATTTCAAAATATCCCTATGGCAAAATCACAGCCTCCAAACTTTTTTTGTGGACAGAAAACAAATCTTTCTATTCTTGCCTTAGGGATTTTTTTGCATGCACATAGCCTATGAAATTCACCCATAGATTTGCAATAAGCGTTAAGTTCTTAAACGCTATTGCAAAACTTCAACAGTATATGTAAACCCTAACACTTAACTTCCCTTATTAGCTCACTTTTGGTCTGTTAAATATACATTTAAAAATGTTTTGTTATATTTGTTAACTAAGTGCAAAAAATGATCATGCCAGAAATCTTGTTAGCTGAACTTCCGCTGCACTCTTATGCTCCTGGATGTCTTTGTAAACTAAAGAACACCTCCCCCTTTTATGGAGAGGGATTTGTTCTGTAGCCCTGTCCTAGAGTGACAACAATTCTCCTCCGTAGATGCAATACAATGAGTGAGTGTTCTTATCCAAGGACAGAAAATGCACTATGTGAAAAAAAAAAGGAAAAGAAAGCCTGCATAAAGAAAACTAATAGAGCCACCACATCTAAGCACCAGTAAGCGGCAATATATAACATTTATGTTTAGATATACTTTAATGGGAGATTTTGAGGTGTGTTTTAGATTATCTTGTTACATCCAGCCTTTTTACAGTTTGTTTCTTCGTTGACTGTGCGACTTGTGGCTGCTTCACAATCTCAAAGCATAACTGGTCATCTACTCCTTAAAAATATTTTTTTCTTCCAAACATACCTTTTGGTGATTGAAGTTGGTTTCAACTATTTTCTGGCTTATCTAAGTTTTTTGAATGCTTTGACTTTTCTAATGTTCTGTACACAGAGCTGGACAAATCACTAATCATTAATTAGCTGGATTTCATCACTAATCACTTATCAGATGTCTCGCCCTAATGTTTTGGTGAAAGACAGTTGTGTTTGAAAGGAAAATCTTTTTCTTGTGCTGTCTCTTTAGCTAATTGTATAGTGCTCTGGTAATCCTTTGCCATGCAGTAAATGTTTAGCCCTAAAAATTGTAAAAAGATTTGTATGCATATAATAAAAACAACTATACATAAAATATAAATTTAAAAGTTTATGAACTATATGGAAAAATTAAAACAGAATTGACCCCAAACTATTTTACTATGCATTATGGGTTCTCTTTAAATCAGTTTAAAGTTTTAACTAAGACTACTTTTAAGTGCTTGTAGTAAGTTGTATCTAAATGCATCTGCCTGAACCACCTAGTTTTAGATCCAGTTTAGGTGGAACTATTATTGTATATTATAGATTATCCCATTTTGAACAGTTTATTTTCTGTACTTCAGCTGATGTTTGCATGCAGCTTACTCACTATGAAGGTTCCAATCTGTTTTTATTCTACTTTCTATTAAATAAAAAGACACAAATGCAAACTGATCTCAGAGAATCTCTAAATTGTTTGAAGTTCTCTGAAAGCAATAATGAGAATTCCAAAGCTCTCACATGGTTGATATTGCTTGATTGTTAACTCATACACTGCCCAATCACAATAGATAAAAAAGTTTCATTGCTTGCCAATATCTGACAGTGAATATCCAGCCTTACAAAGACTTTGTTGTACCTTGTTAGGAATTTCTTACCATTTGGTAACCTCTGTACAGATCTCCCTGTCTTTGCTTCATAATCTACGACTGCTAGTAACAGCCTAATTACAGATGTAAACTGAATGTCGGAAGCACGTGCTCTTGAGTAAGAAGTGGGTTTTGGTCATCATGATGTGCAGTGCATCTTGACAAATATTTTCTGTGACCACTGGGGAATGGATTAAGGAGCCTTTTTGTCTTTATTACTTTTTGTATTCTTTATTAACTAGAACTACGAAAGAACTTCTTCTTAGTTCCATATTCATTAAGAGATCTTTTCTGCTTTCCTCCTTTGGCTGTTTTCTTTCCATTTCAAGTACCATAATGGCATTTCAGGCAGCTTCCTGTGAGAAATCTGTTTCTATGCTGTTATTCTTCCTTGTAAAAAGGTGACTGCACTGGGGGTGTAGCTGTTCTGAAAGTTTAAGAACCCTCTTGAAGCCAGGATTGTGAGGATCAGGCCTGGGATTTCTGTAATATGTACTGAAGAATGCATCAGTTATTTAGGAACCTAATTCCCAATATGGCTCCTCTTTGATTAAGGACAAAAGCCATCATCTCATAGCATTGTTGAAATCCCAAAAACAAGTTAATGATCTAAACTCTTTAGCTCACTGTTTGACTATTTAAATTACTTTGATTTTATTACAAACAAGCTTATCCGGGTCTTTTTCGTTCTCCTTTTTCCTAGTTTCTTTCTTTCCCCGGCTTTTATTTTCCTACAGCTTGTGTAATTTCTAGTTCATTTCCTCTTCTGTCTGGGGGCTGAAAGGTCGTGAGTCACTAACAATAGAAAGAGTGAGTACTCTTCATATGGACAGCATCCATGTTTAATCTTCAGAGGTGAAAACACTGTTAGTTGATTTGGAAAACCGATTTTTTTTCTTGGATTTTAAATCACAAAATAATCTTATTTAACCAGGAATGTCTGTATTACGGTAGTCTTCTTTTTTTTGAGAGGTTGAATAAGAGGGCAGTCTTCAGTATGCCATAGGGTATGTCTGCATTTCTACAGGTAAATTTAGTCATATAGTTTTATTTAGGTAAATCTGTTGGTATTAAATTAAATATAGCTTGTTAAGGATACCCATACACTGACAATTATCTCTAGTTATGTGACAGATATGAGTCATATACAACTGAATATTGCATGGGTGTCCTTGCAATCAATAATGAGCATTGTGGATCATCAGAAGAAATCATTATCAGTCACAGAATTATTTCAGGATGTTGGAATATATTTGTATGACTGATTTAAATAGGAATGGTACAATTCTTTTACTATGTGCCTGCTGGTTTCAAATCACCTGTCCAGATGTCCCAGTAGATGATCAGTGCAGTGGTTGGTTTGGCAATAAACAGATCTTTTATGTCCTGTCATTACTAATGACAGATCTGCTGGTGTGGGGGCACATAAGACTTGACATAAGCAGGTATCTGTAGGGTATTGATGTGTCACCTGCACTCCTTACAGTGATTGGACCTTGATTAGTAGTCATGGTTTTCGTAGTGATTACGTGAATGGTGCCATGATCTCCAAAATTGTAAAGACAGAGATCACCAGCACTCAGTCAAAAGCATCCAATTATTTTGCTTTATTGATTTATTGAAGATACATTGCTTTAATGATTTATTGAAGAAACATGTCACAAGTGTCAATTAGCCAACATTTCGGGGTCACCGCAGGGTCCTTTCTTTAACCCCTTCGTGACTGACGACGTACAGTGTACGTCGCCAACATCGGGGCTGTTTAAACAGAACATAGCGATGCCATTTAGGCTCTGCTGCATGCACATGAGCTGAAAGAAAATATGCAGTGCTGATGATTTAGTAGTTTGCTTTGATTACAGCTTTAATCTGCAAAAAGTGGGATCTGCAAATACTTTAACTGTTCTAATGAAAGAGAAATATTGTCCCCGTTGCACAGATATTTTTGCAACAATAAACATTGCTTTCAACAGAGTTAGCTATTGCTCATTGTGAACCCTTGCCCAACACATTGAATTGCAATGGAATGGCCATGTACATCCACTTGTTGGCTCTTACTTATACACAGAAAATGTGATTTGCATTAGGTAGTAAATGTAAAGTATATTCTATTAGAAAATAATCATTGAAATCAGCATTATTCAGTTATGAGTCTGCTTAAAAGTGCAGTTTCGGTCCTCTAACAGGCATTTTTACTAAGCTGGTAAAAGAAAACAAAAAACAGTTATTCTGTTTCTGATAGAGCAGTCGGGTGATTTGTAGTCGTTTATGGTACTTGTGTGACATTGGATTTCAGGATTTGCTTTCTTGTTATGTTGCAGGTAAACTTAATAGCCAAGACAATTATAACAACTTCACGAACAACAACCCAGGGAACCCACGCTTGTCACCACTTCCAAGTTTGACTGTGGTCCTGCCGCTAGTGCAAATAAAACAACCAATGACACTAGGAACTATCACAAAACGCACAGGGTAAGTGAAACACATCTAGTTATACACAGTTATATCAGCTTTTCAAAAAGCGTACCTGAGCAGAATCTTAATGTACACATATGGTACAGTTTAAACAGATTCCATGCAGCAGAACAGGTATGGTGGTGGTAATATGGATATAAAAAGCTTATGTTTAGTTCCTGTATTTTCCATACTATAAAATGTACGCATGAATTATGCCCACGTTGTATTGTTTTTATAGTTACATTTTTTACAGTATCACCAGACATGGCATGCAAAACATTTATGTAATACAATGGCAGTTAAATAGGATTTTAGTACATTGACTCTATGCATGTAAGGATTCGGATTGCATATTCTACTAATTATTAGAGGGGGCAGTATTTGGTGTTTAACAGTATCGACACTCACAATTTATTTGTATTGTATGACCTGTTTCCATTTCTCTTGTTATGTACTGTGATAGCATTTTAGTTTCATTTTGAATGTATCTCCACATATGGATCACATTGTTTAAATTGACTTCATGTTTCATAACTGTACTTATTCACAGTAAACAAGATAAAGTGCAGCTATAGTTTTTGAATAAAATATATATGGGGTCTATTTATAAACAATTTACCCTGCAGGTCTGTGAACATTTGTTCTGTGCGAATAAAGGCAAAACAATCGTTCTTAGTATATTTCATTTTCAGGTTAAATATAACATTCGGAAAATACCACATTCTGGCCAGTAGATGGCACTGAGGAGCATAGGAACTAAATACTACTTTCCTATACCCCTCTAGCCACAATGCAGTATTTTTATGTTATATTGCACCTGAAAAGAAAACATTCATTTTTGTTTCTATTCACACAGAACGGACATTCACAGACATTTGCAGAGTGAATGGGTCTGCAAATTCTTTATACAGTAAATAGATCTCATAGTGTTAAAAAGGGTGTGTAGGTAAGATATACACTGTTTTTTTCAAAATATAAAGTTTATTTTATAGAGTATTGTTTAAGACTGTTTTTAAGATAAATACTTATAACTAAGCATCACACAGTTAACCTTTACCAACATATTTTTTTATAGAAACCATAAAAGGTTAGATAGTGTAAGTGTTCATTGTTACAAACAGTGATATTTTTGAGTACTGAACAGCAATTGAGCCAGACATACCTAGTTAATCCTTAAGGTTAATCTGTTGTCTGGCAGTAAACAAATAGAATGTAAATACTGGAATAGAGTTATTGTCAGACATGTTGGCAGAAATCATTGACCTTCTTCTAAAAATGCTAGTTGTCTGACAATCTTGGGCTTCGATACTTCAAAGTTCCTGACCTATAATGGGCATGGAAGAAGTGAAGCCAGAGTAGACTTAGAGCTTTCCTTGTTTGTACCTGTTTCACGTCAGTGATGCCGAAGATTCTGAATCCAGAGGATCAGCATGAAAGACAGATAACTAGCATTTTCAGAACGGGGTCAGTAATGGTGGCCTTTATCATTCTCTCTGCACTGATATCCTTTGGTACTTCAGAAATATACTAAAATAAATATCCACCGGAAAAAGCAAGTACAACAATTATTTCCCAATATTTTCTTTCATTTTCTTAAATTAATTTATTACTAGACTTATGAGACTCTTTTTAGACACCAGTTCATGACTTTCTGCCCATCCACAAGACCTAAGGTCACCTAACATGTCACAGATATAATCATTTCTTTTATCTTTTGTTACTTGTTTTTAATTTTAATTTGCATTTACCACTATTAAAAAATAAAATCAGTTTGTGCTTTCTTAACATAGAGTTCTACAACAAAGGTGTTTGTAAATTGCCAAGCTGTTTGTCACAGGGAGAAATCCTTGGATCTCTTTTTTGAAGATTCAGCTTCATTTGTAGCCTGTGTTTGATGTCTTCACCAGGGAGCCTTTCCCTTGTAAGTTTTATTTTTTAGTGCCAGCATACCAAACCCAGCAAACATTTTGGGTCCTATTGGATGATGCTGTGGCATTATCCATCAAAATATGTAGAACTAATTGCCTAGCTGATTTAAGACAAAACTAGGTCATACACAGAAAGTATCTATTGTGAATGACAATAGCAGCACCGCATGCAGCACATGGCTTCTGTATTATATAAGCACCACTGTTCTAAATTATTCCTTTTACCATTTCGATTTACTAAATAAAAAAATGACAGGTCTTTACACAGTTTGAGCAATTCTCCTTCAGTTCAAAGTCAAAATCCCTTACTTGATATGTTTACTCAGATAGTTACTGAGTAGTGTCTTAGGTCAGCTTTAATGTAGGATGCAGGTAGACTTTGACAAGTTCTTGTGAGTTTGGCTATACAGTATAAGCCTGTGTCAGGGTTTAATATGTTTGTCCGAATGTGTTGAGACACCTTGTGACAGGTACATGAAGGTAAGGATGTCTTTCTTGGTTTTAAATACAATGTACTCGCATATACAGTGCTAAGTTTAATATATGCATTAATATATGGTCACAAGTTGCAGATCTAAATTTGCTGTCAAATATTTAAAGCTAAATTACGTTACATATTTTTTTCGGATTTATATAGCACCAACTTATTGAAGAGTGCTTTACAAATCCTGTATAAACATGTATATTAGTCCTTCTCTCCTAAAGTTATAAATAGTTATTTTTATCCATAGTATATAACACTACCCTGGTGCTGATTACAGAAGCTTACCTATATCAGTATAAAAAAGAATATTAAAATGTACCCGCATTTTATGCCAGCCATATATGCTAGGCACTCTGATGCTAGGTATGCACAAACGTCCACCTGAATAGCTAGCTTGTATAGTTTGTAGTGACCACTACTCTATGCACAATTCCAATTCTATGATCAGCTTGTTCTGTGGTTGCCAAAGTATATGCTAGGTAGGTAGTATATATAACTTCCTATAATACAATTGTTATCAGAGTTTAGTTCAGGACAATCGTTAAAAGAAGTGCCATAGCTTGCTTTGATTGAAATTGTCCTTTCACAGCAAAGGCATTTTGAGTTGAAATGGGCTTATTTCCATTGTGTATAGGTGTGTAACAGAGTTGCTAAGTATTAGCACATCTGAAACAATAGCTTTGCTCTAGACAGGAAAATAGGACTTTGGGTGCTAATTTTACCAACAGATTTAAAAGAAATGCTTGTAGCAGTAATGCACATGTTTTACCACACATTACTACAACACGCCTTAATGCATTGCTTCTTGTTTTTGTGGTGCATTAGTAGCTGCTCTAAGGCAGGACTTTTATATTTAAAAGTTTAAAAGTGGCTAACAGGTTCAATTTAAAACTATCCTCCACTGTCAAAATAAAAGATTGGAGGATTAAGTGGGTAGTAACACATGAAAAAAGTACATAAGTAGAACATATATAGTTTCCTATCCACTGGTTATGAGGCCTAGTGCAATCCATTACCTGGCACTGTGCATTTCTAATATTAGGTTTCAGCCCTGCATACACTTTGAGACTTGTAGCAACTGACCACCTTGTATTTGGATTGAAACACAATTTGCAGGAAGCAGTGAGGAGTACAATGCAGATAAGTCCTATTTACAAGACACTGTAATCACTCCCATTCCCCAATTCTATGTTGACATTAAATTGAGGAACTTTTCACAAAGGTTAATTTGCATCCACTGCCAAAAAATACTTCTGAAATTAAATTAAAGCAAAATAATTTAATTGTTCATAAACCATAGGTTAGTAATCCTACATTATTTAATAATTTACTTGAAAATGTTCTGGGATATTATGCCCATCAAGAAAATGTGCCACTTTGTTTTCTTCTAATTTTACTAGTTTACACGGTTTATATCAGTATACTCAGATTTGTGACTAGTAGCTAAACCCTCAGGCAATATTTCTGTTTCTTTGCAACTCATGCCTGCAGCTTGTTTACTGTGCGCTGCTAAGTGTCTGTAGAGAACATAAAAGTCAATGGCAATCTCTTGAGGCTGCAAATTCATGATTAGCATAAACAGTAGAGCTGACACACAATTCATTGATCCATAGAACATTCCTGAACTTCAGATTGTATTTTGTTGCGAAAAAAACAATCAACTTCAGCCAGTTAGTAACTTAGCTATGTCTTTCCAGAGCTTTTTTTATGCAGATCTTCATCCAGTGTGACAAAATATCAGATCTTTAAGCAGTCACTAAACATAACTAAGGATCCTATTTGGAGAGAGATGGTACTGAACTCTTAGAGCACATCAGGTGTTAAAATTTCATTTAATATCAATACTGACCTAACTGCACCAGGTTTTGGTGGCTAATGTTTCTTAATTACGTATTTTACCTGTGCTCACTGACAACTGCAAATCTGAGACTATTGATCAGGAAGCAGTCAGCCTAGTTTCCAATCATGTGGTTTCTATGACAGCCAATCATGATGGTTACATGAAGGTCAGAAGACGAGCAAACTTCTCCAACCTGTAGAGAGAAAGAAGTACAGTGTTAAGTCATTATATTGCAATGAGGTTTGATTAAAAACTATTGTGTAAATTAACCATTGTAAAATATTTTTTTGGCAATTTGTAAGTTCATAATAAATCATGAGCAGGGTATTTATTTAAAAAAATACCAAAAACTCATATATGTCCTTAAAATCGAATGTAACAATCAGGTAGATTGAGAAATTCGTTATTGTCAAATTGGCCTATGCATTGTTAGGTGGCTACATTTGGTCTGTGCATATGAAGGACTTAATAAAAGGCTGTTGGCCGAATTTTTTAGTGGCAACCCATTGATTATAGAAGTCTTCTTTAAACTTTACTATGTGTTTTAAAATATTTAAAATGTGCTGTCCAAATAGACAACTAATAGAGTGCTCATTTTGACTCCTTAATAATTCACCATGCCGGAGTATTTTATATATTTTTATAGTAAAAATAGTGCCTAACCAGTCCAAGAATTAATAACAAGTGACGAGAGCTGGGTATTTTTTATTCTTGTAGCCACAGCACATTATGGGACCAGAATCACTGCCCTCAGTTACTCATA